TCGCTTTATTTTTGTTTGTTTGTGTTTTATTTTTCTTTTGTTTTTCTTTTGTTTTCTTTTGTTTTGTCTTTGTTTTACTTTTGTTATTTTTCTTTGTCGTCATATTGTCTTTTATCTTGTTAATACACTTTTTAACTTGGATTAATAGCGTATATTTAGTTTTATTATTTAAACACATTTAAACATCCATCTTATACTCGTATTCTTATTAATTTATCATTATCAACCATTCACTTTCGTCATTTATATTTCTCTTATTTAAAATCTGTCGTGAACACAGTCGCTGTTAACCATTTCTAAATATTCTTATACGTAAGAACTAGAAACGGTAGCAGTACCTATTTGTTTTGTGGATGAAGTCTATTAGTGTCAACCACCCATGATGTTGAAGTTTTTTGAGTTGGTCAGGGTGCACGAAAATGAAACCTTGAGTGGATTGTGGAAAAATTTGATAGCGTTCAACTTGATATTCTTTATTTTTTAGAAAATAAACCACTTCATTGATATCCAGCTCCAGATTATCGCTACCAATAAGATGAGAATTTTGAGATCGGTGAATTTTATATTTTATATTGGTGACTTCTTTCTGTCTCAATTCTTTTATACTTGAATCGAGATCCAACTTCGCTGTCGCATATTCCCTAACCGCACTAATGATCGCTGATGATAAATAATTTTTAACGGTCTCATTCTCAACCAAAATTTGAACAGCTTGGGATCTTTTCAGTTTTTCGCTTTCCTCCAAGGTATGAACATGATCAGAAAAGTTTTTATATCGTTCAATCTGCACTTTTTGCTCACCAACAAACTGGGATACTTTGATTTTTGTGAAACACAGATTTGCCAGCCGAATGTTTGTTTTCCAATGTTTTTCACTGAGAATTCCATCTTTACGTGTGTTCGATTGATTATGTTTGGTGAAGCGACAAGTAAAGGTTCTCCATGAGTTACCGTTAACGAGAATTCCATAATTAAATCTGGTCCAGATATTTGATACAAGGGGCCACCATTCATCGTCAAATTCACGCATTGGAAGTTCAAGCAGTTGATTGATATTAAAGAGAAGAGTACGTCTTTGATCAGGAGTTGAAGTTGCAGACGTAAGAGAGCTCATTTTTTACAGAGTCGATTATTATTATATCCCCTGAAACTGAAAAAACACGTCCTTTTCAAAAATGACCTAGAGAATAGTGGAAAAAGTACATAGCGTATAAAAATTGAATGGAAGAGAAGAAATTTAAAGAAAAAAAGTGCGAAAGCCATAAAAGACAAGCTAACTTGTCAAACTTATTCTTTAATTCACTGAAATTCGCTCAAGATATTCCGAGTAATCAAGCAAATGGATATTTTTCGTTACAAACTTGGAAAAAAGATCCAATAAATGGAAGAATTTATTTTGTGAATGAAATAAATATTTGGTTTATGCCAGTAGAATTATAAAGAAATAGCGACAGTCAGTTCAAGTAGCCCATAATCAAAACCTTTAAGAGTACTTCCCGAAGTATTCAAGTCTGCCAGAGTGACCTCTAAAAGTTCAGGCCACGTGATATTACTGATCGACACTGGCTCTTCCGATCTGTCAGTTTCGACCCATGGGATATTCATGTGTTACAAGTATACTAAATATACATGAATTTTCACAAACTGTCCAGATACCTTTACTGTAAAGAGTCTTGACTGTATTAATTATATGTTTGCGAGGTGATGAGAGTAAGAATCTACTGGGTTTGCTCAAGTAATTCTTCGCAAGTTTTATCAGTCACGTCCAGAATAATTTGCGTTGGTGGAGAAGTTCATTCAGTTTGCGAGGTGAATGAAGAATATAACGAGAGTTTGTTCAAGTAATTCTTCACAAGTTTTATCAATCGCGTCAGAGCTTACATTATCTTGCATTAGTGTCGCGTCATTTAGTGGAGAGCATTGGTGGAGAGGTTCTTTCAAGTATTTCTTCAGTATCTTCTATATTAAAGGTGAATTCTTTGAATTAACATTACTATTCTTTTTACAGGCAACAGTAACTAATTATGATTTTGATGAATTATTGAAGAATAATTAAATAGAATTTCAGATAAGTACAATTAACAAATATACATGTTTTTGATTATGCTTTCCGAATTCTTTAACATTAGTACTAATATCATTTTTATTTATTCTCATTATCTTCTATAGCTACAATATCTGCATCATCAGTTAATATACTCTTGGCGAAATCTGTTTTTTCTCCATGATCATCTGACCCATCTGGGCATGACAAAAACATTAAGTATGGCTTTCTATTTACTGGCGTCCAAGTCAGCTGTTGATGTCTTCGCCGTTCTGTTGCCTGGATTTCCTCTTCTATTGGTACCATTCTACTCCATCCCATCATTGCGCGAACATGGCGCCAGTTATTGGCTGACTTTTCAATATAAATTCGCTTGATTGCCTATTCGAACGATGAACAATTTGATTCGACATAAGTCCAGGCCTCTTTCTCTGAATTTTTATCAACGGTAACATCATTGGGCATATTATTGATAGTGACTTCTATACTATCAGAATCAGCAACTTGGACTTTCTCAATCTCGGTAGGTATAACAGGTAAGACGTTAGTTGTAGTTTCTTCACTTTCAGAATTCCTTAAAACAAGAAATGGTGGAGTGGTGCGATATTCAAAATCACAGTGCAGCAGCCTTCGTCGTTTGCCATTGGGCATAATATTAACCTGCTGGACTAAATGCTTGCATAGAAGGAAGTGACTTCCAAGAAAGGCAGAACAGCTGCAGACCCAGTGAGCAACATCAGTGAAATATGAACTGTCTAGATTTGTTACTTTCATACTGGTGTTTCGCTTTCTTTTGCCCTTGACATGCTCATCGGTTCGCTGATTGTTACTTGCAGACTAAGTAATCCATGCTTTTTTGAAATCATCCCACCACCACGGTATCATCATGCCGGTTAGAATTTGGGATAGTTGCTCTTTTTGTGCTGGTATTATCTCGTTGATGACTGTCCAAAGCAGCAAATCGAGTCTTGGACGATTGAAACGGTGTAGACAACACCTTTTAATGACACTCCAGTGGGCTTCAATCATCATTGTTGTTTTTTCAAAAGGTATAGTGGATCTAACTGATCGTGCCCACAGGTGCCACCGCTCTAATGAATACCAGTTGGTCCAGAGGTAGGCCCATAGTAATCACAAGGAATTTTCCACGCAGAATTGATACATTTCTCTTATGGCATTTCGTCTGATATCTGTTGATGTCATGGAGTTTCCTTGAGCATCGATGGGTATCAATGGGTGCATATTGAAATATTTCTGCATTAGCTTCAAAATCGACTCTCGATATGCTGGTGGACAGACAACATACGTCCTTGAATCGCGATCTTCTTGTGTTGGGTAAAAGGTGGGATCAATAAAGTCAAACTCGTTAGTTGCTTTACTGATATTGTAAGCTACAGTACGTAATTGTGTTTCATGTTGTGTTTCATGATCTGTATTGTTTAATGGCTTGGCTTTCTTTTTGAGCTTAAGTTTTAGAACCCGATTCATGTGCCAAGCGCATAATTGGACTATCAAAGATCCCCACACCTTAGTCGCTGCATTAATCTCTGCGAAATCTTTATCAGTAAACACAAATCCTGGATTAATATCACATAGCTTCAAGGTTTCTAAGAAGTTCTTCAAGACTTTACAACGTCTGCCCATACTAGTACTCATATCTGCCTTAGTTGTATCAAGTATAAGATAGGCAATTGGGAAGCCGGTGTCTTTAACTTCTGCTATGACACCATAAAGTTCGTAGCGTCCACGTGCAGTTTTATAAGTGATATCTAAGTATATCTCAGTAATATTAATGCCGTAATTCTTGATTTCGTTCAGCAACGGGATAGTAAAACTGATAACTGTGATCTCTGAATCTTTTATATCAAGGCACAAATGGAAACCATGACTATCGTATTCATTGAGCAACTTGCAAGCAGATTCAACGTGGTCATCATAATGTTGGAATAACTTCTGGCCTGCTATAGACTTCCAAAAGTAAATGCGCTTGGAAGAGTACTTTGAGATATCGAATCCTTGATGTCATAGGTGATTTTTTAAGTCCACTACAATAAGGTGCGAATGTGTATTGATCTCTTCCCATAGTTCATTGGGCATCTCAATGCAAAGATTTGGACACGGATGGAGAAATTCGTAATATATATCCACTGTTATAATACTGAGAATCATATCGATGCGCACTACAACTTTCCCTTTACAATCATATCACATTCGTCATTTGCAATTAGAATCTTTATACTCTTCACTCTGTGCACCTTTCGATTGGCAACACAAATAAGAAAAATGACTGACTGCATTTCTGAATTTTCTGGATATGTTCGAATTATGAAAACTTCAATAATATATCTCAGTTAGTAATAATCTAATAAAAATTCATTTCACAAGATGAAATTACTTACTTCCATGAATAATCATCACCACCTTCAACTTCTGCAATTACAAGATCAGCCATCTCCTTTGCTGTCTTATTTTGAGTGATGGCAATGTCTAATTGTACCAGTAAGTGAGTCTTATAAGCTATGTCAGCTATTCCATCAATATTTGCGCCAGCTGTTAGATCTCGGATCTCATGTTCGACGAAGTCCCCCATATCAAGATAGTTAATTTCGATTCGCGTGATATCACTGATATGTTCTTGCGATTCTTCTGGTGACATGCGCTCTTTATTCCTTTGATCCCAGTTCTCCTTACACCTCCTACATGTCTTGTGATGTATACCATCCCAAGTAAATTGATCATCAGGGTGATTGCATTTGCATTTAGTGCAGAATATCATTCTTTTAGAATTTATTTGTTTGTAATTAGGATTTAGGTATTGAACAGCAGCGTGTAAGTGATCTTTTATAATATATTTAATATATTTGTTTTGTAGTTAGTGTTAGGATTTAGGTATCGAACAGCAAAGAAGTAATGTGCTTCAACGCGTCCAAGATCACGTGGTCATAAAATTCGAAAATTAAAACTCTAAGATTTAAGCATTATTTAAATTAAACTTGATCAAATCTAATATGATACATTTATCTAATAAACTAAAGTTAAGATTTTTCATGATATTTTAGGTTTCAATTACTCGATGGTACACGAGAGAAATGGTATTTAAATATTATTATATCGGAGATCAAAGTTATGTATTTATTAAAATAATAAATCAGCTTAAATGATTTATATTACTTAATTTATTTTTTTTAATATATTATTAAATGTGTCCGAATCAAGCTAAGCAAGAATGCACTCATTATATTATCTAATAATACTTTTTTACTCGAACTATAACTAAACATCTTTTTTACAAAATGTCCTAAATTTATTATCAAACCACACCAAAACACAAATTATAAGAAAATTTGATCTCGGAAATTGCTGCTTTAGAACAAGAAAATTATGCTGATAAGATTATGAGTAATTATATGTGTGTGAGTGAACAAAAAATTCTAATAAATAAATTAAAGTATCAACTATAGGATTAATTCTCACTCTTGAAGGAACCAATTAATTATTTCAGTCTCACGGACAAAAAAGCACAAGTAATTCCAATGAATTTGAACCAAATTAAAATTCTAAATGTTTGCATTTCTGAAGGTCCAGATGCTTTACGTGATGAGTTTAAAATAATCGCATTTTCGAATTCGTTATTATTAATTCATTCATGATGTTTGAAAAGCATGATTGGATACATGAGATACTGGTTTATTCAGGACGTAGGGGTAATTGTTATCTAGTTTTTGTCTAGACGCAGAAATTGAATCATGTTGGTTATGACTATTCAACTAAACAACCTCCGCAATTCCAAAAACTTCTAATGTTTCATTTATAAGTTAATTCTAAATTAGATAACAATAAAAAAGTGATGAATTTTATCTATTAAAATAATAAGTATCTTTAAAATGATTTTTTTATATTTAAAAATTAACTTTTTTTAGCATTCAGTTAAATATCTATTATTCGAGAAAATATCTTTTAAAAAATACCTGAATTTTATTATCAAAGTGCATGCTCTCCAAGACAAGAAGCTTTAATATATATTAAGTGTCAACCAAGTATACTTAGTATACTTGTAACACATGAATATCCCATGGATCAGAACTGGCAGATCAGAAGAGCCAGTGTCGATCAGTAATATCACGTGGCCCGAACTTTTAGAGGTCGTCTTGGCAGACTCCTGAAAAATTATTTGAAGAAATCAAAATTGAACCACTTATACTTCTTGATATTTTCAACTTACAAAGTACACTCGACGAAATTTATTGACTTTGCAAAGAAATCCAAAATAAAATTGATCAAATGAAAATTAGTGAAATCTCAAAAGATGAAAAAAGCATTTACAAATCCTGTAAAGAGAATTCTGATGAATATCATCCAGATGATATAATGACTATACATGCTGAAGAAAATGAAATAAAAGACACACTTCTTACTATCAAAGTTTACAATAATGAGAACAAAGGTCAGATACCAAAATGTGCTCACGAAAATGATGCTGGCTTTGATGTTAGATATACTAGAGAAGAACTCCTCATTATTAAATTACAACAGACAAATGTGATTGATATTTTCATTACAATGAAAATATCTGAAGGAACTGTATGTTAACTAATGTTATGATCATATCTCACTCTAAAAGGAATTGATGTTAAAGGTGAAACTATTGACTTAGGCTACACTGAAAATATTAGTGTTATTCTACATAATTGATCTGCTGATGACTACACAATTCAACCAAATGATAAAATCACACAAGTAGTATTTTTACAACTTGCCCCTATTGAAAGATTACAACCAGTACAAACTCGATATGAACTAGGAGAAACTAGTCGTGAAACTGGTAGATTTGGATATACTAATAATGAAGACATGACAATCTATTTTCTGAATCAAGAAAAATATGATAAACCAATTGAACAATGCGAACTAACAACAGAACAAGACCAAGCTCTAAATCAATTACTAAATGAATATGATGATATATTTGCTGTTGAACTTCACAAACTTGGAAGAGTAAATCAGGTTTAACATATAATTGACACTAGAGACAAATGACCAATTAGACAGAGAGCTTACAGAGCAGCATTACCAGATCAACAATTTATTTCTGAAGAAATACAAAAAATAGTAAATGCTGGAATTGCTCAACTCTCAACTAGTCCCTGGATCTCACTTATTGTTGTAGTATCTAAAAAGAGTGGAAAGAAATATCTCTGCGTTGACTACTGAAAAGTTAATAGCATTATAAAAAAAGATGCTTATCCCTTACCATGAATTGATGAAATGATGAATTTACTTGGAGAATCAAAATGATTTTCATTTATGAATTTAACCAACGAATTCTGGCAAATAAGAATATATCCTGACAGTATACAAAAAACTGTATTCATCTTACATGAAGGACTCTTTGAATTTAATATCATGCCCTTTGGTATATGCAATGGATCTGTCACATTTCAACGAGCTATAGATAGTATGCTTGATAATTATAATTGAAAATTTGTCATAGTTTATATTGATGACATTAATGTATTCTCCTGAACATTTAAAGAACATCTACAATACCTACAACTTGTCTTTCAATGAGTCAGAGAAGCTGGATTAAAACTTAACAAAACCAAATGCAACTTCATTGCTCTTTCTAGTATATGTAATAAATAAAAATAGTATTTTACCTGATCCATCGACAGTTCAGAAGATTGTTGAATTTTCCCAATCACGAACAGTAAAAGAACTTAGATTATTTCTTGAACTTGCTAGATACAACCAAAAATTTGTAAAAGATTTTCCCAAATCACTGCTCTATTATTTAAATTACTCCAAAATAATATTACCTTTGTCTGGATTATTGATCAAGAAACTGTATTTAACAAACTCAAAGAAACACTTATCACTTCTCTGATTTTAATTTATTCTGATTTCACGAAGAAATTTTATCTTTACACTGATGACTCTAACTCTGAATTAGAACCCGTACTCTCACAGAAAGATGAAGAAAATCAAGAATGAGTAATTGCTTACTCAAGCGTTTCTCTTAAACCTACCAAAACTTGATATAGCACAACTGAAAAAGAAGACTTAGTAGTAGTTTGGGCTATTCATCAATTTAGACATTACTTGCTTGAAACAACCTTTAAAATAATAACTGATCTGAATGAGTAAATCAAAATGCTGAAGCTCTATCTCGAATTAACTCTACTAATCATTAAAAATACTTAAATAATTAACTATAAAAATAGATTTAACAACTTACTACAATCTCCTTTGATTTTTGAACAACGAAACTTATAACTCAACTCTTACTAAACAACAAAAGAAATAACTTCAACAACAATCTAAATATTTTGTCATACAAAATGATCTACTTTATAAAATCAATCGATGAAAAAATGCTAATAACTCACTTTGAGTATTAAAAGAAACAGAAATAGAAGTAGTGATGAAAGGAATGCATGAAGATCCATTATCTGAACACTTTGAATATAATGGAACTTACCAATGAATAGCTATATGATATTGGTGAAATGGAATGGGAACTGATATAAAAGATTTTGTAAAATCTTGTTCAACATGCCAATTTACTGGAAGTTAACAATTTAAAGAACTCTTATATTCCATCAAAGTTGGACAACTATTTGATCATATTGTAATTGATCTAATTGGACCATACAAACAAACTCAACAAGAAAATCGATATATTATTACAGCAATAGATTATCTAATAAAATGGCCTGAAGCAAAAGTGATACCTAACAAAGAAGCTATTACAGTTGCAAAATTTATCTTTGAAGAAATTATCT